TTATACAAAAATATTATAGAGATTTACGCTCTAATTTATCAAGAAGGGTGCCCAAACTGTAACAAATAGCCTTCGAAGACGTAAATTTATCACTATTTACATAACCAACACGACGAATTCAAATGCAAGAGTGAGTGACATCTAAAAATAATAGTATTAATAACAATATTAGATAGTTCGTTGTTGGGCCCAGGCATATTACTACTTACTAATAGGAGGGAATATCAGGCTCCTCTAGGTCAACATGTGTGCTTCCATGGAAATAAAAATTAATCTGAGGATACTTCTGTCATTTCAAAGCTATTCAGTCCATCGCTCCACATTTGGTTCCAGTTTTAACATGTGGAAGCACCCCTGGTTTCTCAGCTAAAAATCTCGAACCAACGCGGAGAAGTAACGGCATCTCCAGAAAAGTAACGCTCCAGAACATCTGCTCTCTCTCTCTCTCTCACCTCTTACTCTCAAGTTTGTACTGCAGTGTGTCTTCCGTCAATCGTATTTTCTGGTGGGTATCCCTTCTACCATCTCTTGTTTCATCTTTATTTGTATTTGTCTTGAGGAATATTTGAGAAAATTCTTGAACGAATATCATTTCTATTAAAGTTCTCTAGGTGTTTGAGAAAATTCTTCAATGAATTATCATATTTGTTAAATTTCTTATTCATATTTCTGTCTTCTCTATGGCTTATGTGTTTGAAAAAATACTTGAACGACCAAACTTATCAGTTGAGTTAGCAAGGACGAAGTGACCGCTTCAATTACTAACTATTTGTTATGTTTTTCTTCTCGCTTTTACTATGTTTTTTGCTGATCATATATATCATCAAATACCTTTGTTTCTTTGTTCGATATCTGACCTCTTCATCTTAGGTGAATGTTGAATTTGTTATCTTTGTTCTCTGTCAATTAATTTGAACGGCGCTTCTTATTTTCTCAGTTGTGCGTTGAGGTTGTTTCAATTGTTTTCTGTCAGTTTATTTGACAATAAGTGTGGTATCTGGGCCTTTGACATATTTTTCAGAGGCTGACGGCCTGTGCGTATTTGAGACGGATTCTTTTGCTATTTCCATAATGCATAGACTGTTTTGGCATATATTTGTATAATTAATTTTTGCCTTCCTAAACTATCAACTTGGTGGTTAAATAAAACCAGCTTTTCGATTTATTGATACTAAAAAATCAACTTAAGATGACCTTAGCGATGCGCTGTGCTGGGAATTGTCTACAGTACGGTCGGTAGGCTGCTAACCTAGAAGCGTGTTAAAAGATTACATTTCCTCTGCGCTTGGGATAATTAGATTCAAAGAGCTATTTATATGAACTCACTATTAGAATGAAATAATTACTGATCCAATCAGTTCAGAATTGAGTAGTTGACTGCTTGATTAGTATACAAGAAAGCAAAAATGAACTTTGTCACACAAAAAAAGGGAAAACATGTAATCGAATCAGTGTGTTTTCCTTTTTAATTCCTGTCACACAAGCAATTGCTTAGTGACTCGCTCATCCTTTACTGCTATATCTTTTTATGTATCCTTTTGAACACCAAAAGAGCAATGAGCAGTTGAGTTTTAAGAAAGATAAAATAAAGGAAACACAAGAAAAATAATGATTTTCTTGTATGTGTTTGTTTGAATACAAAAGAAAAGTCCAAAGGGAAGTAAAATAGTTATATTATAACTTCAAAATCTTGTGTCTCGCTCATTTTTTGAAGCCCGATTTGAGTTTATCTCAATCACAAATGTTGGGGCACTTGTTCTCATCCTACAGAATAACAGGAGGTTTCCAGTATGTGGTTTCTCTTTAGTTATTAGGTGTTATTTAGAATAGTGTAGTAGCCATGTTAGCAAGATCTTGATTTTTCTTTGAGTAGTTTATTTCTCAATCTTAAATGATGGAATATTGTTTATGATAAATGGATTAGGTGCTTTGAAATGTGAAGTTTTCTACAGTAAGTATAGTACCATAGTTATTTGCGTTGAGCAATTTAGCAACTTTAGGAGAAGGCTACAAACAGACTGCTCACTGTAAGAAATATTTCGACCAAAGGTAAAGATTCTGTCATGAAATGTTGCAGGAGAGAATACCTTTATTGAACTGAAGTTTATTGGATGAGATAACTACAAATAACCTTGACTCAAATGCATCGACAACGTGCTGCAAAGAGCGCAAGCATCCAAAATAAATGAAGGAACAACTAGAAACCATGAAATGTGGAAATTTTAACCAGATTTGACCATAAGAATATCTAGGAAACAATATGGACTAACGCTTCTATCTATATAATCTTTACATATATATCTATAAAAATATATGGGGTGAACTTGCGAAATATCACATATTGTTGGCCGGTCATTTATGTTATTCTTTGGATTCTAGGGTGTATGCGTATATTAACCCGAATAAATTCTTCAGGTTATTGGTTGTGTGACTGCGTCAATACCTTGATTCACATTTGACTGATGCTACTCTGTTTGGTGTATAAGCATGGTAGAATTTAGTAGTGTCTCCTGCAAAAGTTTGTTACTTTTGATATTGTGATTTATACAGGAAAACGAATAGCATCCTCAACAAACCATTGAGGCTAAATATGTTGTTGGAACGGTAAATTTATCACTAAGAAGTGCTCGCTAATGTTGTTAAAATAGGTATTTGGACCCATGTAGAATTGAACTGAAGTGAACTTAGTTTCATGTGGAGTTAGCTTTGTGTGATAGGACTATATGTAGGTCCTCAGTTAGATTAGAGAAATTGGAAGAATAGTAGTTGAGAGGGGAAGGATACTTTCAAGAACTTTGGGTAAGACCAAGGCCAAGTGAAGGTTATATTATATATTTTTCAACCTGATAAAAAGAACCTCTTTCTTAGTTCCATTTACCATCCTCTCTTAACATTATGCTGACCAAAAAGTTAGGATTAGCTATGCTTATTCTTTTTACTTCTTTTGGGTTCAAGAATTAGTTAAGTTTGAATTTAATTCCATAGTTTATCTTAACATCATGTCTTATTTAACCATATATTTGGAAAGTTAGAACAGCCTTTCTCACCAAAAGAATACTTGAACAACATGACAATTCTCTTTGATGCCCCAAAGTTACATGGCACCTCACGAACCACATGGTTGTCTATTATGTCAACCGTTGCTATAGATTAATATGTTGTTTTAGGGAATTTCCACTTAGTATGTTTGAATATACTCTTAGTTATCTGTGCCTGCTTAAGTTTGATGTTTGTTGTCAGAATTCCTTGATAAGCTGCTATTTTCTTTCAACCATTATGAATAATCTTTTATTTCAAAAGAAATGCTTTGTATTCCGAGCTGCCTTTTTGTTTTCTTTTTCGTTTTAACCTTTTGGTCAAATATGTTATAATAGCCGAGGGTCTATCGGAAACAGCCTCTCTACTCCACCGGAGTAGGGGTAAGGTCTGCGTACACACTACCCTCCCCAGACCCCTTGTGAGATTTTACTGGGTTGTTGTTGTTATTGTTGTGTTGAAATTTTATCACAGGAGCTTGGGGTCGTCAGGGTTATTTTGGTAAAATTGCAATTACTTTGTGCTTTAACTATGTTGCACTTAGTGCTACAGTGTGTGTACCTTTTCTCATATGGCCCCCACCTGAACTTCCTTTTTGATATGCATTTGTCACGGATGGCTCTAACGTGGGCTTCACTAGCAGCCTTTAATGTTATATCAAAATTGTCCTTATTGTATTGGGGTTGGTTTTTTTGGTCCTTCATATGTCACCCTTGATAGATATAGTCCTTTAAAAGTAGATGGATTTGGTCGTTGAGCCCTAAAACTAACAGATTTTTCAAAACTTGTTGTTAACTTTAACAAGCCACGTGTACCTCACATGGATTTGGATGACCCGATGAAAAACAAAAGAAGGAAGACAACTTTTATTTGCTCATATTTACTTGTTCTTCATTGGCCATTAGAATTTTCAGTTGAGTTTACATCAACCACTGAAATTTAGAAATTTAGGAATATACCTAGCAAGAAGAACCCATCTTATGACCAAGAAAAAAGAAAATTATATCCAATTAAATAAGAAAGCAAGAGTTACGGAGAAAAACAGGAAGAACACGAAGAAAAATATAGGAATAGTTGAAGAAAAGAACAATAAATTTACATCTGGATAATATTTGTAAGTTAGTAATGTGAATTAGTGCACTAGCTTCTCTATGTAATCATTACAAAATATAAAGAAAAATTAACCAGAAAGGAATCTAATGATAATTTTAAATTTAATCATTACCAACTTCCTCTTGCGGTCTTATTCCTCCTGTTACCCAACCCACAAAGCGCTATAGCCAATATATCAACATTTCTGAAGAATTTCATAAAAGAGAAGGGCAAAAGTTTTGATAGTGGCAATTTTTCTAAACTATTGAAGAATCTTGATATGGAACCACAAAAGAAGAAGAAGAAGAAGAAGAAGAAGAAGAAGAAGAAGAAGAAGAAGAAGAAGAAGAAGAAGAAGAAGAAGAAGAAGAAGAAGAAAGACTATGAACATGCCCTCAAAAGAAAAATAATCTTGATGAGGAAGTGGTCAACGAACGAGTATCACAAATTCATAATACTTAAAGCCACTTCCTCATAAAGAGTGATAGTCACATCTCAATGATCATGTACAAAGTTTGGGATGTCAAACTCAAATTGTAACTTTTTGCACATCAATGATCAATGATGACTATTTAATTAAAAAAAAAACCACTACCTCTTACACCTCAAGCCACAAGAAAGATTCTTGAATTAAGCAATCGTGTTGATGATGAACCCTAGCAGTACTACTTCGAAAAACTAATATCTATGTGACACCTTCTTGTTTAGCTTCTTAAATTAAAATTGATTGTCACTAAACTTCTACCTAAGGCATGCAAAATTTTTAAGAAATTTCAATAATATTCCATCACTTAAGTTGTCTTAGATCCTGTTGACGTACAAATTGTCTAGCACATGTATACACATGTACTACATCATAGCTAGCACATGTATATGAGTTGTATAATAGGTGTAATACAAGTTGTGTAGCACATGTATACACATGTACTACATCATAGCTAGCACATGTATATGAGTTGTATAGTAGGTGTAATTAGGTGTATGGCAACTAATAGATTAGGTGAATTAGTATTATAAATAGGCCTTGGAATCTTCTCTTCTAGATATGAAATATAGAACTTCTTTGGTTTCTAACATGGTATCAGAGCATTGAAGTTTTTTCATCAGTTTGTTGTTGGGAATTTTTTTTTCCCCGTTCGAATTATTTTTGTTCAGAACAGTCTTTCGCTGCTTTGATTCTATTTTACTATTTCCGGCCATTTTTTGCCCCGGCCACTTCTTTACAGATTTTTCTACTCACTATTCCGACCAAAGTGGTACTGTCAGAATTTTTTTTTCCTGACAACTTTCATTTTCCAAGATCACTGTTCCGGCACTGTTCACTGCACTGTTCACTGTTCAAATATTACTATTCACTGTTCACTGTACTGTTCAAATATCACTGTTCACTGTTCACTGCACTGTTCAAATTTCACTGCACTGTTCTTGACTATTTGATTCTGCTATTATTCGGGTGCAAGATGACTGAAACGAAACCTACCGTTGATGTCATTCTGGTTATGTCCAAAATTACGGAGAATAAGTTCATGGGTTCCCATTACATAGATTGGATTAGGACGATCCGTCTCTATTTGCGGAGCATCGACAAAGAGAACCACTTGGTTGATGATCCATCCAAGGATGAGACTAAATCAGTCTGGTTAAAGGAGGATGCAAAATTGTTTCTCCAAATCAAGAATTCGATGCACAGTGAGGTAAATGATCTAGTTTCTCATTGTGATTATGTGAAGGATCTAATGGATTATTTAGATTTTTTGTACTTTGGCAAAGGAAACTTGTCTTGCATGTATGATGTGTGCCAGGCATTTTACCATCCATCCATGAAAGATCGCTCTCTCACCACTTACTTCTCAGAGTTTAAGAAGGTGTATGATGAGCTTAATGTTATATTGCCGTTTAGTCCAGATGTGAAGGTACAACAGGCTCAGCGTGAACAACTGGCGGTCATGAGTTTCCTTTCTGGTCTTTCTCCCGAATTTGAAGGGGCCAAATCGCAGATTTTATCTGGGACTGCTATCTCTTCTTTGAAAGAGGACTTTACAAGAGTGTTGCGTACTGAAAAGTCTCATCCAGGTCCGACAGCCACGATCGATAGTGGTGCTCTGCTTAGCCGCGTCCAAAAGAATAGGAGTCATAGTAATCGCAATCGGAGTAGCGATAGTCGAGACCTAAAGCAAGGGGAAGTTGAATGTTTTTATTGTCATGAGCTCGGTCATACCATACGTTATTGTGTGAAGCTTCAGAATAAGAACAAAAGATCTCAGTATGCCAACATCGCCACTTCCGAGACTATTTCACCATCTCAGTCATCATCTCCTCCTATCAATACTATCCCCGAGTCAGGTAAAACCACTAAGTGTCTCCTCTCTTCGTCATCCAAATGGGTCATTGATTCTGGTGCCACAGATCATATGACAGGTAACTCTAAACTCTTTTCCACTTTTCAGTCACATACCCAATGTTCCACAGTTACTTTAGCCGATGGGTCTACCTCATATGTTTTAGGGTCTGGCACTGTTAACCCAACATCTTCTCTTTCCCTTAGTTCCGTCTTAAATTTGCCTGATTTTTCTTTCAATCTAATATCTGTCAGTAAACTTACTCGTACTCTAAATTGTTGTGTCTCATTTTTTCCCAATTATTGTCTTTTTCAGGATCTTACGACGAAGCAGATTATTGGTAAAGGTTCTGAGTCTGGGGGTCTCTATGTTCTTGAATCACAGGTGCCGAAATCCATTTCTTGTTCAACTGTGTTGTCTCCCTTTGATGTACACTGTCGATTGGGTCATCCATCATTGGCTAGTTTGAAGAAGTTATATCCTCAGTTTCAGAGTATTTCCTCTTTAGATTGTGAGTCATGTTAGTTTGCTAAACACCATCGCCTTCCTAAAGTTTCTAGAGTCAATAAACGGGTCGACTTACCTTTTGAGTTAGTTCACACCGATGTTTGGGGTCCATGTCCTATTATCTCTAAAACTGGTTTTAGATATTTTGTTACCTTTTTGGATGATCATTCTCGTGTTACTTGGTTATATTTAATGAAAAATTGTTCGGAGTTGTTTTCAATTTTTTGTGCTGAAATAAAAACTCATTTTATTGTTTTCGTTCGTAACTCATTTTATTGTTTCCGTTCGTAATTTAAGGAGTGACAATGCAAAAGAATATTTTTCGGATTTGTTTAAAGA